CTCTGGTCTCCATGATCCCTCACACCGGGGGAGTGGAGATAACGTCCCTCTGGTCTCCGTGATCCCTCACACCGGGGGAGTGGAGATTCCGTCACTGGTCTCCGTGATCCCTCACACCTCGCTAAGTGATCCCGTCTCATTAGCATACCTTAATTATTTGGTAATTAGTCTGCCACAAGCCTGACAACCACTTCTCCCAGGGGCGATAACTACCTTCCCAGGTGCAACAACCATCTTCCTTCCCTGGGGTGACACCCATCTTCCTTCCCTGGGGTGACACCCATCTTCCTTCCCAGGGGTGACAACCACCTTTCCCGGGGTGACAACCACCTTCCCCGGGGTGACAACCACCTTTCCCGGGGTGACACCCACCTTCCTTCCCCCGGGGTGACAACCATCTTCCTCCCCCTCTGTGACACTCGTCTTCCTTCCCCGGGTTGCCAACCACCTTCCCCGAGGTGACAACCATCTTCCTCCCCCGGGGTGACGCCCATCTTCCATACCCGGGGTGACGCCCATCTTCCGTACCCGGGGTGACACCCATCTTCCGTCCCCGGGGTGACAAACCTCTTCCTTCCCCGAGGTAACACCCATCTTCCTTCCCCGAGGTAACACCCATCTTCCTTCCCCGAGGTAACACCCATCTTCCTTCCCCGAGGTAACACCCATCTTCCTTCCCCGAGGTAACACCCATCTTCCTTCCCCGAGGTAACACCCATCTTCCTTCCCATGGGGTGACAACCACTTTTATTCCCCCGAGTTGACAACCTCTTTCCCCGGGGTGACAACTTCCTTCGTTTCCCGGGGTGACAACCACCTTCCTCCCCCTGGGTGACACGTTCCTCCCCCAGGGTGACACCCAGCTCCCCAGGGTCTATTTAACTTCCCAAGATATTCTTTTCTAAGTGACTGCCTGCACATGTTTCCCTAAGTGTTAGACAGCAAACACCTGTTCAGAGATTTCTTAAGTGTATTGAACACCTGTGTATTACCAGGTAAGTCAGGTGTAGCGGGTGTGTGTGTGTGTGTGTGTGTGAGTGCATGTGTAAGTGTGCGTGTGTGCGTTACTGCAGCTCTTAGGTTGTGTATGTACGTATACTGGCTTTACCAAGTGTCGCTTGAGTACAAGACACAGCCAGATGTGTACTCAGTGTGTCCTCTCCCATGACTAATGCTGTGTAGCGTTGAATTATTATAGATCCCATCACTGCCTCTCTCTCTCTCTCTCTCTCTCTCTCTCTCTCTCTCTCTCTCTCTCTCTCCTCTCTCTCTCTCTCTCTCTCTCCTCTCTCTCTCTCTCTCTCTCTCTGCCCTCTCCTCTCTCTCTCTGCCTCTCTCTCTCTCTCTCCTCTGCCCCTCTCCTCTCTCTCTCTCTCTCCCCTCTCCCTCTCTCTCTCTCTCCCTCTCCTCTCTCTCTGCCTCTCTCTCTGCCTCTCTCTCTGCCTCTCTCTCTGCCTCTCTCTCTGCCTTCTCTCTCTCCTCTCTCTCTCTCTCTCTCTCTCTCTCTCTCTCTCTTCTCTCTTCTCTCTCCTCTCTCTCTCTCTCTCTCTCTCTCTCTCTCTCTCTCTCTCCTCTCTCTCCCTTTCTCTGCCTTTCTCTCTCTGCCTTTCTCTGCCTCTGCCCCCCCTCTCTCTCTCTCTGCCCCTCTCCCTTCTCTCTGCCTTTCTCTCTCTGCCTCTCCCTCTGCCTCTCTGCCTCTGCCTCTCTCTCTCTCTCTCTCTCTCTCTCTCTCTCTCTCTCTCTCTCTCTCTCTCTCTCTCTCTCTCTCTCTCTCTCTCTCTCTCTCTCTCTTCTCTCGCTCGCGCGCGCTAATTCTCCTGTATCTGTCTATCCAAGCCACCAATAATTACAGAGTATGTAATTCCCTCTCCACCCAGAGTCTGAAGTGTGTAGTTATGTACCTTAGATTCTCTAGCATAATTTACCCACTCACTCAGCAAACATTGTTGATTATAATAAATACATGTTTATTCTTATAATAAATATTTTTATAGTATATAGTCTAATAAAACTAACAAGTTTATAATGTTAAATATTGTTCCAAGCTCCACACATGGTATATATGCTGGTGTTTAATTTGTGCGATTCACAAATAATTTTTACTTAAGAGACGAACCTTGTGATGATTAGGTCTCTCCTGCTCCATTGTCAAGTCACAGCTGAGGGGAGAATATATAAGGAAGGTCAGAAAACACTGGGAAGGGGGCAGAAGGTAGTAGTAGTGGTGGTAACAGTAGTCGTTGAATTAGCAGTGGTAGCAACGGAAGCAACACTGATGATGATGATGATGATGAAATAGTAGTATTAACTGAAGTAGAGGTAAAACAATAGTAGAGTGCAATATTGAAATTATTATTATTAATTAGTAGTAGTAGTAGTAGTAGTTCCTGTATGACACAGGACACAGTAACAACAACAGCAGCAGTAGGAGACTAGTAAAAGAACAGAGGAGCACTGTAGTAAACGTACTAACCCAGTCTTGGCAGCACTAGTGATACAGTGAGTATGATTTATATTGGAATGTGGTGAAGACTGACGTGTCTCAGCACGATCACTTGTTACCAAGGTGGCAGAGAACAACTCCAGCAGGACAACTGGTCCAACCTGGATTATTATTATTATTATAATCAAGGGGGAAGCGCTAAACCCGGAGGATTATACAGCGCCTGGGGGGGGGGGATGTGGAAGGCATTCAGGCTTAATTCGGGGAACATAGGTCCAAGCTGGAAAGAAAGGAAACCAAGGAAGGGGAAAGTAGGAAGACAGTAAATACAGAAGACAGGTCAAGTGGAAAGAGGAATCAGAGGTCAAGTCACGAGTGTTGAGAAAGGCAGGTATGAGGCTTCTCTTCTAAGTGTGAGTTATTTGTGAGTTGTTCCAGCCATGGTATTGTTACTTTTTATTCCCTAGTGGGTATTACTGCACTTTAAATATGACTTCGAGAGAAGTAGACAGAATATTTTGGTCTAATGATTAAGAAATTCTCTGTGTCCCTCTCTCTCTCTCCCAGTCTTCCAGCAATCATAACAAACCATGTGTGGTGCTTGGTATAAATATAACTTACCAACCCAACTTACTGAAAAAATAATTGAAAACTTCTTTATTATTTCAGATATAACTTTACTCACCTGTTACATAAATTACATTATACTTTTAAATATAATCTGTGCTTACGTAAAGGGGCAATAAAGAAACTAGATTTTTTTTTAAATTGTTATATTTTTGTAACTTTTGGCCTCTGGAATTAATTAGCTAGTGCTCTAAACCACTTCTAAACAATTACCACAATTAACACAGTGTTGCTGGTAGAGGTTAGTGAGGTAGTTAGATACGGTCTCTTAACTAGCGTTAGAGACCACGTAACTAGTTCATTTCCCCTCCTAGTTATAGCTAGTATTCACAAATAACCCGCACATAGAAGAGCGGAGCTTACGACGATGTTTCGGTCCGACTTGGACCATTTACAAAGTCACACTAACAAAAAGGAGAGGTGTAAATGGTCCAAGTACGAGCGAAACGTCGTCGTAAGCTCCTCTCTTCTATGTGCGGGCTATTTGTGTACTGTTCCAGTCGCGGTATTGTGCCTTTTTTGTTATATATAGCTAGTATTACTTCTTAGTCTAATAGCCAGCGATTGTTAGTGTAAATTTTGATGCCATTCTTAAAATGGCAACCATCCATTATTAGGTATCACCATGGCAACCATCCACTACCATGGCAACTATTCACCATTAACTATCACCATGGAAACCATCTACTACCATGGCAACCATTTACCATTAGATATTGCCATGGCAACCAATTTTTACCTCCCCTAGGAACCATTCATCCCTTATCAATGACCATCTTCACCATATACCATTAAATCCCTTATCCTTAGGCCACCATTACTATTTTTTTATCCCCGAGTCATTACCTCACCGCAGGGCTGAAATCACGACCATTACCACCATTACCATCACTACTACCTCACCAGGCAGTTATCTCCACCATAATCGGTTAATGGACGGAGGATCGAGCCTCCACCGCTCATGACTGAGATAATCCCACACGGGTTTACCGATTCACACAAATCTCAATATCGAATTGCTTGTTTACCTGCATCTTGTTAATTCCTGGGGGGTCACCGCCCCCCCCTCGTGACCCCGGGAACCAGACCAGATCTCGTGGTTGATAGCCGGGTCAACCAGGCTGTTGGTGCTGGCCACAAGTCATCACAACCGTCATGTCTAAGAACTATCAGTCGAGTCATCACAACCGTCATGTCTAAGAACTATCAGTCGAGTCATCACAACCGTCATGTCTAAGAACTATCAGTCGAGTCATCACAACCGTCATGTCTAAGAACTATCAGTCGAGTCATCACAACCGTCATGTCTAAGAACTATCAGTCGAGTCATCACAACCGTCATGTCTAAGCACCATCAGTCAAGGCATGACGATAGGTTAAGTTTCTAATAGTAAGATGACGGTGGTTCGAGCCTGCATCATAAGTAACGCACTAAACTATCTTATAAAAGTTATTTGTGTCTAGTAATTTGCTTAGTAAATGCGGTTAAAAAAAATCATCTGAAGTTAAACAGCGTATACTATAAGGCCTTTCAACAGACTGAATGTCCTTTATCAGTTGTTTTTACCAAAAAAGAAAAAGTTTGTAAAAGTATTTTTTTTAACACACCGGCTGTCTCCCACCGAGGTAGGGTAACCTCCCAAAAAAAGAAGAAACACTTTCACCATCACTCCATCATTGCCTTGCTAGAGGCGAACATATTTCATACTATTAAACCAGGTTTTAGAATGATGGTTTAACTAGTATTTATTACGATTTTAACTGTTATTCACACAGTTACTTCCAATGATGGTAGTTATAAAGTGGTTTAGGGTTCACCTACGTTATTTTTTATGTTAATGGATATTAATGGGTAACACTGAATTTCGATATTTTTACTCATTATATATGTGATATAATATTTGCATTGTACGTTGGTGTTGTGTACCAGAATACGTCGCTCTCCAAGAAGACTCCCAGCACCACAGACAATCACATCCCACACAACATGAATAAGAGGGACATCATCCGTGCTACTGACTTCAACTACTTGATGGTGCTAGGCAAGGGTTCCTTCGGCAAGGTGCTGCTGGCTGAGAGGAAGGTTAGTACACTTCTTAGTAGTACTTCTGGTCTTAGTAGTAGTACTATTGTTCTTAGTAGTACTTATGTTCTTAGTAGTACTTATGTTCTTAGTAGTACTTATGTTCTTAGTAGTACTTATGTTCTTAGTAGAACTTCTGGTCTTAGTAGTACTTTTGTTCTTAGTAGTACTATTGTTCTTTGTAGTACTATTGTTCTTAGTAGTACTGTTGTTCTTAGTAGTACTTATGTTCTTAGTACTTATGTTCTTAGTAGTACTTCTGGTCTTAGTAGTACTTTTGTTCTTTGTTCTTTGTAGTACTATTGTTCTTAGTACTATTGTTCTTAGTAGTACTTATGTTCTTGGTAGTACTTATGTTCTTAGTAGTACTGTACTTAGTAGTACTACTGTTCTTAGTAGTACTACTGTTCTTAGTACTACTGTTCTTAGTAGTACTACTGTTCTTAGTAGTACTACTGTTCTTTAGTAGTACTATTGTTCTTTAGTAGTACTATTGTTCTTAGTAGTACTATTGTTCTTAGTAGTACTACTGTACTTAGTAGTACTACTGTACTTAGTAGTACTACTGTACTTAGTACTACTGTTCTTAGTAGTACTACTGTTCTTAGTAGTACTACTGTTCTTGGTAGTACTATTGTTCTTAGTAGTACTACTGTACTTAGTAGTACTACTGTACTTAGTAGTACTACTGTACTTAGTAGTACTACTGTACTTAGTAGTACTACTGTACTTAGTAGTACTACTGTACTTAGTAGTACTACTGTACTTAGTACTACTGTTCTTAGTAGTACTACTGTTCTTAGTAGTACTACTGTTCTTAGTAGTACTTATGTTCTTAGTGGTACTTTTGTTCTTAGTAGTACTACTGTTCTTAGTAGTACTACTGTTCTTAGTAGTACTACTGTACTTAGTAGTACTACTGTTCTTAGTAGTACTACTGTTCTTAGTAGTACTACTGTTCTTAGTAGTACTACTGTTCTTAGTAGTAGTACTGTACTTAATAGTACTTCTGGTCTTAGTAGGACTGTTCTTAGTAGTACTATTGTTCTTTGTAGTACTTCTGGTCTTAGTAGTACTTATGTTCTTAGTAGTACTACTGTTCTTAGTAGTACTACTGTACTTAGTAGTACTACTGTACTTAGTAGTACTACTGTTCTTAGTAGTAGTACTGTACTTAGTAGTACTACTGTTCTTAGTAGTACTACTGTTCTTAGTAGTACTACTGTTCTTAGTAGTACTACTGTTCTTAGTAGTAGTACTGTACTTAATAGTACTTCTGGTCTTAGTAGGACTGTTCTTAGTAGTACTATTGTTCTTTGTAGTACTTCTGGTCTTAGTAGTACTTATGTTCTTAGTAGTACTACTGTACTTAGTAGTACTACTGTTCTTAGTACTACTGTTCTTAGTAGTACTACTGTACTTAGTAGTACTACTGTTCTTAGTAGAACTACTGTACTTAGTAGTACTACTGTACTTAGTAGTACTACTGTACTTAGTAGTACTACTGTACTTAGTAGTACTACTGTTCTTAGTAGTACTACTGCACTTAGTAGTACTACTGTTCTTAGTAGTACTACTGCACTTAGTAGTACTACTGTTCTTAGTAGTACTACTGTTCTTAGTAGTACTACTGTACTTAGTAGTACTACTGTTCTTAGTAGTACTACTGTACTTAGTAGTACTACTGTTCTTAGTAGTACTACTGTACTTAGTAGTACTACTGTACTTAGTAGTACTACTGTTCTTAGTAGTACTACTGTTCTTAGTACTACTGTTCTTAGTAGTACTACTGTACTTAGTAGTACTACTGTACTTAGTACTACTGTTCTTAGTACTACTGTTCTTAGTAGTACTACTGTTCTTAGTACTTATGTTCTTAGTAGTACTACTGTTCTTAGTAGTACTACTGTACTTAGTAGTACTACTGTACTTAGTAGTACTACTGTTCTTAGTACTACTGTTCTTAGTAGTACTACTGTACTTAGTAGTACTACTGTTCTTAGTAGTACTACTGTACTTAGTACTACTGTACTTAGTAGTACTACTGTACTTAGTAGTAATACTGTTCTTAGTAATACTGTTCTTAGTAGTACTACTGTACTTAGTAGTACTACTGTTCTTAGTAATACTACTGTTCTTAGTAGTACTACTGCACTTAGTAGTACTACTGTTCTTAGTAGTACTACTGTTCTTAGTAGTACTACTGTACTTAGTAGTACTACTGTACTTAGTAGTACTACTGTACTTAGTAGTACTACTGTTCTTAGTAGTACTACTGTTCTTAGTAGTACTACTGTACTTAGTAGTACTACTGTTCTTAGTAGTACTACTGTACTTAGTACTACTGTACTTAGTACTACTGTACTTAGTAGTACTACTACTGTTCTTAGTAGTACTACTGTACTTAGTAGTACTACTGTTCTTAGTAGTACTACTGTTCTTAGTAGTACTACTGCACTTAGTAGTACTACTGTTCTTAGTAGTACTACTGCACTTAGTAGTACTACTGTTCTTAGTAGTACTACTGTTCTTAGTAGTACTACTGTACTTAGTAGTACTACTGTACTTAGTAGTACTACTGTTCTTAGTAGTACTACTGTTCTTAGTAGTACTACTGTTCTTAGTAGTACTACTGTTCTTAGTAGTACTACTGTACTTAGTAGTACTACTGTACTTAGTAGTACTACTGTTCTTAGTAGTACTACTGTTCTTAGTACTACTGTTCTTAGTACTACTGTTCTTAGTAGTACTACTGTACTTAGTAGTACTACTGTTCTTAGTAGTACTACTGTTCTTAGTACTACTGTTCTTAGTAGTACTACTGTACTTAGTAGTACTACTGTTCTTAGTAGTACTACCGTTCTTAGTAGTACTACTGTACTTAGTACTACTGTACTTAGTAGTACTACTGTACTTAGTACTACTGTACTTAGTAGTACTACTGTACTTAGTACTACTGTTCTTAGTAGTACTACTGTTCTTAGTAGTAGTACTACTGTTCTTAGTAGTACTACTGTACTTAGTAGTACTTATGTTCTTAGTAGTACTACTGTACTTAGTAGTACTACTGTTCTTAGTAGTACTACTGTACTTAGTAGTACTACTGTACTTAGTAGTACTACTGTTCTTAGTAGTACTACTGTTCTTAGTAGTACTACTGTACTTAGTAGTACTTATGTTCTTAGTAGTACTACTGTACTTAGTAGTACTACTGTACTTAGTAGTACTACTGTTCTTAGTAGTACTACTGTTCTTAGTAGTACTACTGTACTTAGTAGTACTTATGTTCTTAGTAGTACTTATGTTCTTAGTAGTACTACTGTACTTAGTAGTACTACTGTTCTTAGTAGTACTACTGTTCTTAGTAGTACTACTGTTCTTAGTAGTATACTGTCTTAGTAGTACTACTGTTACTTAGTAGTACTTATGTTCTTAGTAGTACTACTGTACTTAGTAGTACTACTGTTCTTAGTAGTACTACTGTACTTAGTAGTACTACTGTACTTAGTAGTACTACTGTTCTTAGTAGTACTACTGTTCTTAGTAGTACTACTGTACTTAGTAGTACTATGTTCTTAGTAGTACTACTGTACTTAGTAGTCTACTGTTCTTAGTAGTACTTACTGTTCTTAGTAGTACTACTGTTCTTAGTAGTACTACTGTACTTAGTAGTACTTATGTTCTTAGTAGTACTATGTACTTAGTAGTACTACTGTTCTTAGTAGTATAACTAACTGTACTTAGTAGTACTTACTGTTAACTTAGTAGTACTACTGTACTTAGTAGTACTACTGTTCTTAGTAGTACTACTGTACTTAGTAGTACTATGTCTTAGTATACTACTGTACTTAGTAGTACTACTGTTCTTAGTAGTACTACTGTTCTTAGTAGTACTACTGTACTTAGTAGTACTTATGTCTTAGTAGTACTTATGTTCTTAGTAGTACTACTGTACTTAGTAGTACTACTGTTCTTAGTAGTACTACTGTTCTTAGTAGTACTACTGTACTTAGTAGTACTATGTTCTTAGTAGTACTACTGTATCTTAGTAGTACTACTGTACTTAGTAGTACTACTGTTCTTAGTAGTACTACTGTTCTTAGTAGTACTACTGTCTTAGTAGTACTACTGTTCTTAGTAGTACTACTGTACTTAGTAGTACTACTGTACTTAGTAGTACTACTGTTCTTAGTAGTACTACTGTTCTTAGTAGTACTACTGTACTTAGTAGTACTACTGTCTTAGTAGTATACGTTCTTAGTCTTACTGTACTTAGTAGTAACTTACTGTATACTTAGTTAGTACTACTGTTCTTAGTAGTACTACTGTACTTAGTAGTACTACTGTACTTAGTAGTACTACTGTTCTTAGTAGTACTACTGTTCTTAGTAGTACTACTGTACTTAGTAGTACTACTGTACTTAGTAGTACTACTGTTCTTAGTAGTACTACTGTACTTAGTAGTACTACTGTACTTAGTAGTACTACTGTACTTAGTAGTACACCTGTTAGTAGCTGAGAGGTAGGCTAGTGTACACACACTATTCTTGGTATTACACCTGCTACTTACATTATAACTATTACTATTATTACTATGTCTCTCAAGCTCTGTACTGAAAAATAATACGGTATAATTATGGTATCTTAGATAATTTGTGACTAAAAGATAAGATTTTTGTTAGAGTAAACAGGTGTAAGTGTACCGCAGTCTATCATCAGTAATACACATGACACGTGTCTTAGTAACATAAGAGGATACCTGTGTTATGGTATCCCTGGAGTGATATCCTACTGTGATTGCTGCAGTTTTTTTCCTTTTGATGAGGGGTTTTCTTTTTTTTTTTGCTTAAGTTGAGAACATTTCATTCGATCGGCTTCAAACTTTCAACACCGGTGTGCTGTAAGTAGGAAAAAGTTCAGTCGCCCTTTCGTCAAAGTGGAATTTTTATGAAGAGATTCCCATACTTCAAAAGATAAACACAAGAAAAAGTAGAAAAAAA